ACACAAAAATCACTCCTTATGAAAGCAAAAGACTCAGCAGGGGATGCAACATTCCCCCAATGTAAAGCAGAGGCACCATGAGTACACTGAGAGACAGCACAATAAGTGTCTGGGGCCCAAGACCGTTCAACTGCCTCCCAGCATACATAAGGGGGATGACCAATAGACCCCTGGCTGTCTTCAAGAAGGGACTGGACAGGCACCTAAAGTCAGTTTGCGTGCAGCCAGCAGTAACAGCCTGGATTATCAGACCCTGATCCACCTTGAAGCCTGGTCTCAGACCAGGGTCTGGTGGATCCTATCATGTTACTTTGCTCAAACACCAACAGTACATCTCCATTAAAACCATTTGCCTCCACTCGCTGCTAACACACACACACTTGCTCCTTTACTCCCCCCTCCCTACAACCTTTCCTAAGATGACCCTTAGCCAAATTTCCTTCCACTACAGATTTATATGCCCTCCAAGTCATTCTATTTTGTTCCATCCTTTCTAAATATTTGAACCACCCCAGCAATCCCTCCTGAGCCTTCTGGATAATACAGTGGACCCCCGGTTAACGATATTTTTTCATTCCAGAAGTATGTTCTTGTGCCAGTACTGACCGAATTTGTTCCCATAAGGAATATTGTGAAGTAGATTAGTCCATTCCAGACCCCCAAACATACACATACAAACGCACTTACATAAATACACTTACATAATTTGTCGCATTGGGAGGTGATCGTTAAGCGGGGGTCCACTGTACTTTTTGAAAGCCCGCACTTCCTTCTAATCTCCAAGCTACGGATTCTCTGCATAATATTCACACCACACAATGCCCTTAGACATGACATCTCCACTGCCTCCAGCTTCCTCCTTGCTGCAACATTCACTACCCATGCTTCACACCCATATAAGTGTATTGGTACCATTATACTCTCATACATTCCCATTTTTTAACTTTCTTCCAATCATAAAGCACTAACATTACTCAATGTCATGAAGTGGCAAGCATGTTGAAACCAGAATTCTTAATAAACATACCAGGTAATGGTAAACCCAAGAATTGTGCCCTAAATGACTTTACTCAACTTTTCCTCACTCTGATACCAATATTCATTAATTTTTTTTTTTTTATTTTTTTTATTATCACACCGGCCGATTCCCACCAAGGCAGGGTGGCCCGAAAAAGAAAAACTTTCACCATCATTCACTCCATCACTGTCTTGCCAGAAGGGTGCTTTACACTACAGTTTTTAAACTGCAACATTAACACCCCTCCTTCAGAGTGCAGGCACTGTACTTCCCATCTCCAGGACTCAAGTCCGGCCTGCCGGTTTCCCTGAATCCCTTCATAAATGTTACTTTGCTCACACTCCAACAGCACGTCAAGTATTAAAAACCATTTGTCTCCATTCACTCCTATCAAACACGCTCACGCATGCCTGCTGGAAGTCCAAGCCCCTCGCACACAAAACCTCCTTTACCCCCCTCCCTCCAACCCTTCCTAGGCCGACCCCTACCCCGCCTTCCTTCCACTACAGACTGATACACTCTTGAAGTCATTCTGTTTCGCTCCATTCTCTCTACATGTCCAGAACCACCTCAACAACCCTTCCTCAGCCCTCTGGACAACAGTTTTTGGTAATCCCGCACCTCCTCCTAACTTCCAAACTACGAATTCTCTGCATTATTCACACCACACATTGCCCTCAGACATGACATCTCCACTGCCTCCAGCCTTCTCCTCGCTGCAACATTCATCACCCACGCTTCACACCCATATAAGAAGCGTTGGTAAAACTATACTCTCATACATTCCCTCTTTGCCTCCAAGGACAAGTTCTTTGTCTCCACAGACTCCTAAGTGCACCACTCACTCTTTTTCCCTCATCAATTCTATGATTCACCTCATCTTTCATAGACCCATCCGCTGACACGTCCACATCCCAAATATCTGAATACGTTCACCTCCTCCATACTCTCTCCCTCCAATCTGTATTTCAATCTTTCATCACCTAATCTTTTTGTTATCCTCATAACCTTACTCTTTCCTGTATTCACCTTTAATTTTCTTCTTTTGCACACCCTACCAAATTCATCCACCAATCTCTGCAACTTCTCTTCAGAATCTCCCAAGAGCACAGTGTCATCAGCAAAGAGCAGCTGTGACAACTCCCACTTTGTGTGTGATTTCTTTATCTTTTAACTCCACGCCTCTTGCCAAGACCCTCGCATTTACTTCTCTTACAACCCCATCTATAAATATATTAAACAACCACGGTGACATCACACATCCTTGTCTAAGGCCTACTTTTACTGGGAAAAAATTTCCCTCTTTCCTACATACTCTAACTTGAGCCTCACTATCCTCGTAAAAACTCTTCACTGCTTTCAGTAACCTACCTCCTACACCATACACTTGCAACATCTGCCACATTGCCCCCCTATCCACCCTGTCATACGCCTTTTTCCCAAAATCCATAAATGCCACAAAGACCTCTTTAGCCTTATCTAAATACTGTTCACTTATATGTTTCACTGTAAACACCTGGTCCACACACCCCCTACCTTTCCTAAAGCCTCCTTGTTCATCTGCTATCCTATTCTCCGCCCTTACTCTTAATTCTTTCAATTATAACTCTACCATACACTTTACCAGGTACACTCAACAGACTTATCCCCCTAAAATTTTTTGCACTCTCTTTTTATCCCCTTTGCCTTTATACAAAGGAACTATGCATGCTCTCTGCCAATCCCTAGGTACCTTACCCTCTTCCATACATTTATTAAATATTGCACCAACCACTCCAAAACTATATCCCCACCTGCTTTTAACATTTCTATCTTTAATCCCATCAATCCCGGCTGCCTTACCCCCTTTCATTTTACCTACTGCCTCACGAACTTCCCCCACACTCACAAAATGGCTCTTCCTCACTCCTACAAGATGTTATTCCTCCTTGCCCTATACACGATATCACAGCTTCCCTATCTTCATCAACATTTAACAATTCCTCAAAATATTCCTTCCATCTTCCCAATACCTCTAACTCTCCATTTAATAACTCTCCTCTCCTATTTTTAACTGACAAATCCATTTGGGTTTTCTAGGCTTTCTTAACTTGTTAATCTCACTCCAAAACTTTTTCTTATTTTCAACAAAAATTTGTTGATAACATCTCACCCACTCTCCCATTTGCTCTCTTTTTACATTGCTTCACCACTCTCTTAACTTCTCTCTTTTTCTCCATATACTCTTCCCTCCTTGCATCACTTCTACTTTGTAAAAACTTCTCATATGCCCAACTTTTTTCTCCCTTACTACTCTCTTTACATCATCATTCCACCAATCGCTCCTCTTCCCTCCTGCACCCACTTTCCTGTAACCACAAACTTCTGCTGAACACTCTAACACTACATTTTTAAACCTACCCCATACCTCTTCGACCCCATTGCCTATGCCTCATTAGCCCATCTATCCTCCAATAGCTGTTTATATCTTACCCTAACTGCCTCCTCTTTTAGTTTATAAACCTTCACCTCTCTCTTCCCTGATGCTTCTATTCTCCTTGTATCCCATCTACCTTTTACTCTCAGTGTAGCTACAACTAGAAAGTGATCTGATATATCTGTGGCCCCTCTATAAACATGTACATCCTGAAGTCTACTCAACAGTCTTTTATCTACCAATACATAATCCAACAAACTACTGTCATTTCGCCCTACATCATATCGTGTATACTTATTTATCCTCTTTTTCTTAAAATATGTATTACCTATAACTAAACCCCTTTCTATACAAAGTTCAATCAAAGGGCTCCCATTATCATTTACACCTGGCACCCCAAACTTACCTACCACACCCTCTAAAAGTTTCTCCTACTTTAGCATTCAAGTCCCCTACCACAATTACTCTCTCACTTGGTTCAAAGGCTCCTATACATTCACTTAACATCTCCCAAAATCTCTCTCTCTCTCTCTCTGCATTCCTCTCTTCTCCAGGTGCATACACGCTTATTATGACCCACTTCTCGCATCCAACCTTTACTTTAATCCACATAATTCTTGAATTTACACATTCATATTCTCTTTTCTCCTTCCATAACTGATCATTTAACATTACTGCTACCCCTTCCTTTGCTCTAACTCTCTCAGATACTCCAGATTTAATCCCATTTATTTCCCCCCACTGAAACTCTCCTACCCCCTTCAGCTTTGTTTCGCTTAGGGCCAGGACATCCAACTTCTTTTCATTCATAACATCAGCAATCATCTGTTTCTTTGTCATCCGCACTACATCCACGCACATTTAAGCAACCCAGTTTTATAAAGTTTTTCTTCTTCTCTTTTTTAGTAATTGTATACAGGAGAAGGGGTTACTAGCCCATTGCTCCCGCATTTTAGTCGCCTCATACGACACGCATGGCTTACGGAGGAAAGATTCTTTTCCACTTCCCCATGGACAATAGAAGAAATAAAAAAGAACAAGAGCTATTTAGAAAAAGGAGAAAAACCTAGATGTATGTATATATATATATGCATGTGTGTGTCTGTGAAGTGTGACCAAAGTGTAAGTAGGAGTAGCAAGATATCCCTGTTATCTTAGCGTGTTTATGAGACAGAAAAAGAAACCAGCAATCCTACCATCATGCAAAACAGTTACAGGTTTTTGTTTCACAGTCATCTGGCAGGATGGTAGTACTTCCCTGGGTGGTTGCTGTCTACCAACCTACTACCTAATATTCATTAAGACATTAAAAAAAGTGTGATTAGACTGACAAAGAATTTTTTTATCAACATTCTGATTACTAGGCCTGGCCTGAGACCAGGTAGTGCGACAATGACCCTTGGAATCAACAACAAATATGTGTAATGAAAGCCTTAGTAATAAAGAACTACATAGAAATGGAGGCAGTTAATAGGGAGCAATATTTCCCTAATGCATATATGGGTGTGAATATCTGCACAGAGTGAGTCAGAGAATCCAAGGATGTATGTGTTAAGATGAAATTACCTTCTGGAAGATGCAAAGGTGAGGAAATGTGCGTGAGACATCAAGACGGATAAGGTCTATGGTTCCTTCCTGGTCACCACAGTCACTAGTCACCTCCTCCAGGCTAGCCATGCTCCCACATTCACTAAAACTCATCAGCTTTTCCATGGACCTGATTGAGCCAAGGAAAACTATTAGGAAAACTGTACTGCTGCAAAAAAGTTTAACAACAAAACTACAGAATCTCTACATTAAAATATTCTGTTTCTTAATTACATGCCACTGACAACCATGCACTAAAATACATATTGGTATGTATATTAAAGTAATACTTTAAATTATACACTATTACAAAACAAATCTATCAAATTCATTTTGAGTAAAAGAAAATTTGGGGCAAGCAAAGGTAGGTTGACCAAAAAAATATGTTCATTATTAATGCAAGTATTTTTGTTTTAATCTATTGTGATATATTATATTGATCAAACTAAATGTATGCCAGTATTTTCAAAGTAGTTACAGTTTAGACAATAATTACAGTCTTGAACAAGTAATAAAAAAACTTTCTCCAAAACCTCCTAATATGTTAATCTATGCGTGGAATATGCATTAAAAATATCTTCCTAAATAAGAGGTTCATGCACACATGCTATGTATAGAACATGTGAAGCCATAAGCTTCCACATAAACAACCAAATAAGGAAAACAATAAAAAAAAAATATTTACTGATATAAAAATGAAAGGTCAGATAGTATGGCAAAAATTACGTTAGTGCAAAAAGTGAGTGGCTGAAGAAAATTTTTGTAGATGGTGCAGAAATCTATTTTTTAATGAAATGTATAAAAATGTGTATTACAGTGTGTGACAAGATGGTCTAGCAGATTTACTACAGTACGGTCGAACCCCCAAGTTTACAGTTGAGCATTGGGCTCAGCCACAATAAATCACCTTAAACCTTTAACCCTTAAACTGTCCACACGTAGATCTACGTTCACGTGCAGGGGGTTCCAAACGTAGATCAATGTTTTATTTTTCTTTCCTTCAAAATTGGTGCGATAGGCCTGAGTCGCCTAGACATGAGAGAATGGGTCTGTGCACTCAGTATGAAAAAAATCAGTGACCGTTTAGTACCTTATGGGAGCACCAGTTCAACTGAGTGCCAGCTAGAGCAAATAGTGTGGCAAACACCAGGGATTCACTGATGTCATGTATTAACACTTCCCTTTTAAGAAGAAAGTAAAAATAGGTTAGATAAATACATGAGTGGGTGTGGGTGGGTGTGAGTTGGACCTGACTAGCTTGTGCTACTAGGTCAGATGCTGTGCTCCTTCCTTCAGTAGATGTGACCTGACTAGGTGGGTCATTGGTCTAAGCCAGGGGGTGACATGCATCTGCCTTGCACGGGCCAGTAGGCCTGCTGCAGTGTTCCTTCTTTCTTATGTTCTATGTATTTGGCAGGCTGGCCAGCTGGCTTGCTTTGGCTGGCTTTCACTGTCTCTGTCTATCTATATCTCTGTCTGTCTGTCTATATCTGTCTATCTCTGTCTCTCACATGTAAACATAAGTACAATTATTATACATAGTCTAAATTAACTAGGATAACCCAAAAGTTCCAGGTAAAGTACTATACAGTGTTTGTAGATATAAGACATAATAAACATGATGCAAGTAATAGCAGTGTCACTTGTTCAGCAATCAGGGAGCAGCTCTTAACCTTTAAACTGTCCAAGCAGATCTATGTTCACATGCGTAGTGCTCCAAAAGTAGATCTACATTTTTTTACATATTTTCAAATATAAGAAAAAAAATGTAGATCAAAGTTTTTTTTACATGTTTTCAAATGTAAAAAAATAAAAGAAGATCTACTTTTTTTACATAATGTTGAAAAAACGTAGATCTACGTTTGGACAGTTTAAGGGTTAAACCAAAGACCAACAGCTTTACCAGCCACTCCCTGAGACAGAGACAAACAGATGGAAAGACAGACAGACACAGAGAGATAAACAGGCAGATATATAGACAGACAGAGACAGACAGACAGACATGTTTGTGTGCAACAGTGAAAACAAATAAAGCGAGGGTTCCCTGCAGCAGCCCACATTCATCAAATGTCACTGCCTGTCACTGGTTATCTTATGCTTGTCAATACCATCCTTCAATGAGTTTCATATATACTCCAGGCAGACAGAAAGACAGATAAACAGAGCTAGATAGACAGATAAGCAGAGCTAGACAGACAGACATGTTTGTGTGCAACAGCAAAAACAAATAAAGCCAGGGTTCCCTGCAGCAGCGCACATTCATCATATGTCACTGGCTGTCACCAGTTATCTCGCTTGTCATAACACCATTCTTCATGGAGCGTCTAAAACATTGCAAAGACCTATAAATACTTTGTATATATTTCTAGACAATAGTAAATGACCAAGGCAGGTGAAAATGTTCACCTGTCGGTGTGATTGTTATTATGTGAATACTATCTCAGAACATAATATTAGTGTCAGAATAAAGATTGGCTGTGAAATCACAAGAACTATTATAAATTGTAATTATTTTTTTTATTAACACACTGGCCAATTCCCACCAAGGCAGGGTGGCCCGAAAAAGAAAAACTTTCACCATCATTCACTCCATCACTGTCTTGCCAGAAGGGTGCTTTACACTACAGTTTTTAAACTGCAACATTAACACCCCTCCTTCAGAGTGCAGGCACTGTACTTCCCATCTCCAGGACTCAAGTCCGGCCTGCCGGTTTCCCTGAACCCCTTCATAAATGTTACTTTGCTCACACTCCAACAGCACGTCAAGTATTAAAAACCATTTGTCTCCATTCACTCCTATCAAACACGCTCACGCATGCCCGCTCGAAGTCCAAGCCCCTCGCACACAAAACCTCCTTTACCCCCTCCCTCCAACCTTTCCTAGGCCGACCCCTACCCCGCCTTCCTTCCACTACACACTGATACGCTCTTGAAGTCATTCTGTTTCGCTCCATTCTCTCTACATGTCCGAACCACCTCAACAACCCTTCCTAAGCCCTCTGTAATTATCAGAACATAAAAATTATACAAATAAAAATAAAAATGAAAAAAGATAAATCTGCAACCTGCAGGACTGTATGTTGCCATCAGGTGAGCACCCAGAGCCAACATATCAGTCTTATATCTCGGTAAGCACTGGTTCTAATTTTTTTTTTGTCTTATACCACACAGAAAATTGCCTCTTTAATTAAAAAAAAAAATATTTTTCGAAATATTCGGAGTGCCACGCAGGGGAACGTAGATCTATGTTTGAACAGTTTAAGGGTTAATAACCCAACAAAAAACTGCAGTGCAACTGATTACCAACTCCTGCACTAAACAGCACACTCCACTGCTTTTTAACCCCTTGACTGTCAAAACCCCAAATCCTGAGGTGTCTCCTGGAGTCGGAAAATTTAAAAAAAAAAAAAAAAAATTCTTATGAAATGATAGAGAATCTTTTCCTGATGGTAATGACATCAAAAGAATGAAATTTGATGGAAAACTTACAGAATTACTCTTGTAAAGTTAGCGACTGCGGCGATATTTACAAATTAGCGATATCGCCCACTTTGAGTCCTATTTTCGGCTAATTCCATTGTTCCAGTCGACCAAACTCATAGCTATTTCTTTAGAACTCCATTTGTTCTATTGACTGAGTACAAGAAACTGCCCATTTACCGATTTCAACTACCCAATAACGTGGTCAGAAATTTGCAATTTGGCAAATTTCACGAAAATTAAAAAAATATGCCAATTTCAAAATGGGGTCCAGAATGAACAATGCAGACATTCCTGGCTCTAAAATAACATTTTCTTTGTTCATCAGTCACGTCTCTAGGCCCCTCTGATATTACTCTTGCTTTCTATTTTGAATTTTTATTCAAACAAAAAATAGAAGATTTACTGTTATGCAGACTACTGCAATATTGTAATAATTGTATAAATAATGTCAACCCATTCGTGACTGCATATTAGAATGGCTAGTTGGACATTTATTGGACAACAACATCATTTGTTTAATTTTAAACATTGGCAAAAATCAAACATTTCCCCTACTTTGAGCTCCATTTCAAGGTTTTCTTCATCATAAAACCAATCAAAATCACCTTTATTTCTATAACATGTTTTCCATTCTATCAAATGAGACCAAGAAAACGAGAATACAACCATAAATACTATACGAAAATACAGTGGACCCTCTCCTAACGATATCAATCCGTTCCTTAGAGCTCAACGTTAGGCGAAATTATCGTTAGCCGAATTAATTTTCCCCATAAGAAATAATGGAAATCAAATTAATCTGTTCCTGACACCTCAAAGTATGAAAAAAAAAATTTACCAAATGAAATATTAATTTTAATACACACAAACTGAAGAAGACATGTACAATTACATGACACTTACCTTTATTGAAGATCTGGTGATGATTGATGGGATGGGAGGAGGGGAGAGTGTGGATGGTATTAATGTTTAGAAGGGGAAACCCTTTCCATTAGGACTTGAGGTGTCAAGTACTTTTCCGGGGTTACTTCCCTTCTTCTTTTAATGCCACTAGGACCAGCTTGAGAGTCACTGGACCTCTGTCGCACAACATATCTGTCCATACAGCTCTGTACCTCCCGTTCCTTTAAGATTTGTCTAAAATGGGCCATAATATTGTCATTGTAATAGTCACCAGCATGGCTTGCAATAGCTGTGTTAGGGTGATTTTCATCCACAAAGGTTAGCAGTTCAACCTGCTCTTCACACATTTCCTTAATCTTTGAAGTAGGCACAATGGATTCCACAACTGGCATAGGCATCTCAGGGTTAGCCCCAAACCCTTCAAAATCTTTCTTAATTTCCATACTAATTCTCACCCTTTTTATCACAGGGTTGGTACTAGAAGCTTTCTTGGGGCCCATGGTCACTTATTTTGCAGGTGCAATCACTAAAAATGCTGTGATAATATGAAATGTTCCGATTGTATGTTTGGATGCGACTGTGGTGGCTGGCTTGTAAACACTGGCACCCACGGGACAAGTGAGGCACGCTCAGGCCACACGTGGATGCGTCTCGAACGGAACGAATCATGTTGGGCAAGTTTTTTAGCGCTAGCCGAGGAAAAATTTTTGCGTTAAAATGTATCGCTAGGCGGATTTAACGTTA